GCAGTCTGTAGGCCACTCAGGTAACTATTTAAAAAATAGAAAGGGTAATTTCTTGGTGAGACTTTTCTGACAAGAAAGAACCTAAGTATCCCTTGGTGTATAATTCCAATGAAGAATAATCATTTCATAAACCACATATGGATAAATGTATTTCTGGAGTAAAAAGTTGAAAAAAATTTTTTAAATCATAAACCACATATATACCACTCCTCACCTTGAAAATGCAGGCTTCTTTTTAAATAAACGATTGGCATTGTAATTTTTTTAAAACCAGTCTTTATATAACACAAACAACAGAACCATTCTTCTAGACTTTCTATCACCTTTAGAGAAGTTAGGTAAGAACTGAGCAAGTCTAACTATGAGAACTGTCTAACAGGATTTCTACCCTATCCAGAGTGAGAACTTAACCAATATAGAGAAAAATTTTCAATATATAAAAAGCATCACTTTTAAGCTGTCAGCCCATCGAATCTATTTCCAAAACCATTCCCTCAGTAATCTAATAATATAATAGACTAATGAAGGAGAAAATTTAAATATTTTAAATAAGGCTTTACTTATTAACAAATAGAAAGATTTCCATATACCTAAAAAAAAAAACTAAAACTAAAACTACTGCTATTAAAATTATGCCATTTTCAATTATTTCTTATTATACCTAACTTTGGTCCATAAAATGATATATCAACAAATGAAGTTAAAATTGACCTTCCTTATCCCTTTCCCTCCTTTCTTCTTTCCTTCCTTCCTTTTTTCCTTCATTCATTCATTCATTCCTTCCTTCCTTCTCTCCCCCCCTCCCTCTCTCTCCCTCTTTCTTTCTCTTTCTCTTTCTTTCCTAGTCTCACTGTGTCACCCAGGCTGTAGTGCAGTGGCACGATATCGGCCGACTGCAACTTTCCTCTTTTCTTTTCTCCTTCCTTCTCTCCTTCCTTCCTTCTTTTCCTTCCTTCCTCCCTCCCACCCCCCCCTTTTTCTTTCTTTCTTTCCTGGAATCTCACTCTGTCACTCAGGCTGGAGTGCAGTGGCACAATATCGGCCCACTGCAACTTCAGTGTCCCAGGTCCAAGCGACTCTCCTGCCTCAACTTGCGAAGTAGCTGAGACTACAGGTGCACACCATCACACCTGGCTAATTTTTCTATTTTCAGTAGAGAGGGATTTCACTACGTTGCCCAGGTTGGTCTCAAACTCCTGACCTAAAGTGATCCACCCACCTCGGCCTCTCAAAGTGCTGGGATTACAGGTGTGAGCCACCATGCCTGGCCTAAAATTTCTAAATCTATAATTAGCATAACAGTCAAAAGTGGTCATGGTGAGACACACTCATAATTACGAGACAACTGTTCAACATCATTAGTCCTTAGGAATAGGCAAAGTTAATGTCTCAATGAGATATTATTTCACACCCACTGGAATGGCTATAATAAATCAGACAGACAATAACAAATGCTGGCAAAGATACACAGAAAAGGGAATTATCATACAACATTGATAGGACTGTTATAAAATGATGTGACCAGTTTGGAAAAGCGTGGAAGCTTCCCAAAGAGTAAAACATAAAACTATGATATGACCCAGCAATTCTACTTCTAGGTATGTACCCAAGGTGTATGAAAATGTATGTCCGCACAAAGACTTACATGTGAATATTCATAGTTCCATTATTTGTAATAACCCAAAACTTGGAACCATTACCATCAACTGGTTTTGTATAGACAAAATGTGGCATATTCACACAATGGAATATTATTCAACTATAAAAAGGAATGAACCTAATGGCACATGCTATGCCATACATGAACCTCAAAAGCATTGTTAAAGAAGCTAGACAAAGGCCGGGTGCGGTGGCTCATGCCTGTAATCCCAGCACTTTGGGAGGCCCAGGTGGGTGGATCACAAGGTCAGGAGATCGAGACCATCCTGGCCAATACGGTGAAACCCAGTCTCTACTAAAAATACAAAAGTTAGCTGAGTATGGTGGTATGAGCCTGTAGTCCCAGCTACTAGGGAGGCTGAGGCAGGAGAATTCCTTTAACCAGGGAGTTGGAGGTTGCAGTGAGCCAAGATCGCGCCACTGCACTCCACTCTAAGGACAGAGGGAGACTCTGTCTCAAAACAAATAAATAAAAATAAAAAGCTAGACACAAAAGATATATTGAATGATCACGTTTATGAAGAAGTACCTAGAAAAAGCAAACTTATACAGGTAGAAAAGAGATTCGTGTTTTCTAAACACAAAACACAAAAGGGATTGAGAGCAGGAAAGAGATTAACTGTAATGGGTATAAGGAATCTTACTGTGGTGTTCTCAAATGTCCTAAAACTGATCTATAATGATAGTTGCAATATTTTGTAAAATTCATAAAAATCATTGAATTGTACACTTAGAATGGATGAATTTCATATGTAAAATATACCTAAATAAAGCTGCTTTCTGGGTGGTTTTTTTTTTTTTTTTTTGACACAGAGTCTTGCTCTGTCACCCAGCCTGGAGTACAGTGGCACAATCTTGGCTCAGTGCAACTTCTGCCTACCAGGTTCAAGCGATCCTCCTGCCTTGGCCTCATCAGTAGCTGGGATTACAGGCACCTGCCACTGCATCCAGCTAATTTTTGTATTTTTAGCAGAGAGGATTTCACCATGTGCTGGTCTCAAACTCCTGACCTCAAGTGATCCACCTGCCTCGGCCTCCCAAAGTGCTGAAATTAAGAGGCATGAGCCACTGTGCCTGGGCAATAAAGTTGTTTTCTAAAAAAAAAAAAAAAAAAAAAAAAAACATGGCTTTTTGTTTCACCTGTCCCTTGAAGAATTAAATGAGTAACTGTAGACTGTAGCAGTTTCTGTAATTTTTATTAAACAATTGTACTGATCCTAATCTTGGACAGGAAGCCACAGTATCACTTTTGAGAGGATCTGGCACAGTGTTACGAAAACTCCTTCAACTGGTTGTTCACTGGACAGAGGTTCTCCAGGAAAAGGATTTCTCATAAAGTTCCTTCTGTTCATTGATATCTTAAGAAGCTGGTGCTTGGAGACAGCTCAAAAGTATACACAAGAGATTTGTCTGACAATGGGCTGACTGATCTGGTGGGTATTCTACTCTACCTTCATATTACAAAATAAGAACTTAAAAAGACCAGCAAAAAGTTTTAACACAATTTTAAAGGACATAGGGTTAAGTGATATAACTTTGAGAGTGTACCTGTCCAAATGTCAAAGGCATTGTTTGCTTGAGCAACTGCATAATGTTGTAACACAATAGTCCTTAGTAATGATACTAAATGACAAATAACATTACAGGCATTAATCCAATCCCTGGATTGTCCTGTATTCATCCTAAACACCTTCTAAGTGTCCACTCGACTTATAAGGTCTTTCAAAAATAACCCAGGACTTCATAACACTCACAGGATGGCAAATAATTTTGCAAACTTTTTACTTCTTTGCAAAAATACCACCTTGTCTGACCACCTTATTGAAAACTGCCAACCTCACAACACTCCCTACCTTCCCTTCCCTGATTCTTTTTTCTCAATAAAACTAAACACACCTTTTACATGTATTCTGATTACTGTCTTCCCCTACTAGAATGTAAGTTCCACGAAAAGATCTGCTTTTTTCTTTGCTGTATCCTCATTGCCTAGAACAGTGCCTACCAAGTTGCAGGTGCTCTTGAACAAATGAATGGGCATTAAATATGAGCAAGAAAACAGGAGCTGATCTTTACCACAGGAATGAACAATGAGTCTCTTCTACTTACTCAACAGCCTTGACTTGGCATTAAAACATGAATTTTACAAGGAAACAGAGACCTCAGAATACAACTTCCAGACTGCCTACCCAGCATTTCTTCAGCAAAGAGAGAGTAAAAAAAAAAAGCCAATGTTTCACTTATAATTCTGGATTTGCAACAGAGTATTTTTAATATACTGTCTCTATTCTGGAGAGAGGACAGGTTAACTAAATCCCATGTGACTAATTAACGGGAAAAAAAAAACAAATGAAAGTTCAACACTTAACTATCCTTTTTACTAATTACTTAACTCTCGTAAAGTATAACATTTCAAAGACAGCCTGTTTTTCTACACCCAAAACGAGATCCTATCTTCATGAAGACAGACCTTAGCAGAATGACCTCCTCAGCCTCCAATCCGCCAAACACCAAGGAACCTTATCCCAGAAGTCTTCCCCATAGCCATTTTACAAACACAACTACCTTCAGACCTCTTTCTAATTAACCTGTGATTCAATCCAGCTGCATTCCAGCGTTTAACACCACCCCGGAAAAACTCACAACCACTGGCCCTGGAGCATCCCCTAAGCAGTCACCCCCGCCAACCGAGAGCCCTGGAACAAGAAGGAAACTGGGGATGGCAGGGACCTCCCAGCAAGACCAGAATTGGAGGACATCTTAGACTTCACCCTGGCACTGCCCATTTCTGTGTGACCTTGGGCATGTTACTACACCTCTAGGGGTCCTAGTTTTCCCACCATTAGGGTGAGGACAACATGCTGACCAAGTCACTATAAAGATACAATGACATCCCATACAAAGCACTTAACAGGGCACCAGGTACGAAGCGGCGCCTCAGTCCTCAGCAGCACGGGTGATCCCCGGCCCTCCACCTACGGTCTCCGAGCTGGGAGGCGCCTCGCGGACCCAGCTCTGAGAGGACAAGTGGACACCGAGGTCCAGAGAAGACAGAAGTGCCTCGCTCCGACCTCCAGAAAGGCAGATGGGCGCGGGACCTGGAACCCAGGACGCCCGTCCTCAGCCCACACCCCCGCCCTCTTCTCCGGATTCTGCCGGGCCCGGACGCCCGTCCCGGGCGAGGCGGTGCGCGCCGCCCTCCCGGGGCCCCAGCTCCGCGCGGTTGGGGCCGCTCCACCTGCCGCCGAGCCCCGCGCCCGCCCGCGGCCCGGGGCTCCCGCCGCTCCACCCGGCCTCCCGCGAGCCTCGCAACACCGCGCGGCGGGCCAGAGCGCGTACTCAACTCTTCACTTTGCCGAAGGTGCCGACGCCTAGCGTGTCGCCCAGCACGTAGTGTCCGATCTTCACCCGCCCGTCGTGCTTCTGCTTCTCAGCCATCTTCGGCGCGCGCGGCCTCACTCCGCCGCCTGCCGCTCCGCGCCGCCGCCGCCGCCTACCCACAGTGCAGCGGGCCCTGCGGTGGGGGTGGGAGGACGGGCCCGCGCGCCCAGAGCCGCGAGGGGCGCGGGGCGGGCGCGAGGTCCCGGGAGGGGGCGCTGGGCTAGCCAGGCCCAGGTGGGAAGCGCCCGGCGAGTGGCCGGCGGGGCGGGGCCGAGAGGGAGCGCGGTGCGCCTGCGGCGGAGCCGGAGACTGCGACAGCGGGGGTCGGCTACGTGGGGCGCTGGGCTGGAGTGCGGGAGGGGCCGCGCCAGGTGCGCGGGGTCCGAGTGAGGGGAAGAAGCGGCAGGTGCTGCGAGGGGGTGGGCCGGGGCCGGGAGGGAGGCCGGGAGCCCTTTTTGAGGAAAACCGAAGGGAGTGAAAATGGGGGGGTGGGCGGGTAACACTGGGGCCCGATCCCAGGGAATGGAAAGACGTGGAAGTCGAACTGGAAGAAGAGAGACGGGCCTTGGGTGTGGGGAGCGAGGGGCTGGAAAAGAAAAAAGGCGGGAGGGGAGGCGGCGGGAAGGGCCCTGGTCAAAGGGCAGGAAGCTCCTCCAGTCTCGTCTGCGGCTTTTGGATACAGGTCGCGGCGCAGGGAGAATGCACACAGCTCTGTGCTCTCTTGAATTGCACTCCTGTACTTACTCTGCAATTCCCAATTATTTTGTCCTGTAGAAGAAAGAGACCCTCTCCTCCAGAGCTCTCAATTTTAACTAATTTGCCCACAGTTTTCCAAAAAACCTCAGTCACGGTATTTGCTCTAGTGTATTTTAGCATATGCTTATATACATATGTAGTTTTACCACACGCTTACATAAACATATAGTACCGAAATGTGGTAGCTGCATGTGAGGGAAATGGGAAAGGCCTGGAAAGGTAAACAATATTCTGCCCCCAGAAAGTAAAATACGTGAGTGACATTGGAATTGTGAAGGGCGAGGGCAATACAAGGTCACATATTAAAGGAAGAATAAATGTGATATAGAAGTGAAAAGAATGATAAGAGGAAATTAGAAGCATGACGCCTAGGCACACGTGTGTTAAGAGACTGACCTCCCCCCTCCCCCAAAAAAGAAAAGCCTGGCAAGGAATTTGGTAATAAAGTGATTATCTCTGCCTCACTTCCTTCTTTCCTACCCTTCCTTCCCTCCCTTCCTTCCTTCCTTTAATGTTGTTGTCCGTTCTTTAATGTTGTTCTTTCAGTGATTAAAGTTTCTTCGCTTCTCACCACATACACAAAACGATTAGTATATAATATGTGTGTTAATTAGCTTGACTTACAGCCATTCCACAATATATGTATTTCAAAACATATACATACTAAATATTTTTATTTGCCAATGAAATAAAAACTTTAAAACAAATATTGCTATTTGGGGATAAGTAATTAAGGATTAGTCAAACATTTATAGCATTGCATGCCAATAGAGTTTCAAGGTCACATTCCTCAAACATGAAGTCTGTTGAACACTGTTTTTATGTAAATTAAAATGTATTGATCAAAAAGAATAGGACGCAACAAAAATTTGATTTCTGAGAAGTGCTAAATATAGAAATTTCAAACATTCTCATCTAGACATCAAGACAATCTCATGAGAGATGATCCCAGCTTATAAATTATAGCTATCACAGCTGTTAAACAAGGCTATTTTTGTTCATTCTTCAGATCATCTTTCTTGCTGACAAGAAGTATCGTTTAGGAATCACTCTACCTAGCTGGCAGTTTTGAGAAAATAGTTATTTTTGTGCTGAACTTTCATTTGGTTAAGGGTCATTCCTTCAGTATTCAAGTGAGTAAGAGAAGATCTATTCTGCTTTTGAGATATGAGATGTATATGTCTCCTGCTCTAATATCCCCTTAAACGATGTTGAAAAGTTAGATTGCTTTCTTGAAGCTACATAAAGACTAACTGTAAATTGAGATTTTAAAGCATTTCGTACTGTCTTAACTATTTGTTTATAAATACTATAAATTATTATATACCTAATAACTGTGATTCTTACATAGCTACTGTGGACTACCTTAATAGTTTTATTATTATGTGAAACATCTATGGTACTTTGTTGATTAAGAAGTTCATTTAAACACAATTACCTCATTTAATGGTCTTAAAGGAAAGAAAGATTATTATTCCCATTTTATAGATGATAAAACTTAGTTTTTCCCTTTCTGATTTGCCCAAGGCTAAAATGTGGCAGTCAAAACTCATATCCAGTTCTGACTTGTCCTTCAGTCTCCCTACTATACCACAGCTGCCTATGCAAAATGAATGTATGGTGCTTTAAGAAAATTAAAAATTGTTATAGTTGTGGTTCCATTTTCATATTTTTATTATTTCTTGGGCAGTCTAATAATATATCCTATAAACCTGTAAGCATTTAAACTACTTTTTGTTATTTTCCTGGCTTTTATTTAAAGAAAAGGCTGAATGCTAAATGGGTAAGAAAAGGAATTCTTGGTGGCAGCACTCAGCCTTCTGTTGTCCTCGACACCAGGTATAGTTCCATATTTGCCTCATCCTAATCAGCAATAGAAAAACCCAACAGTTAATCAGACTAGATCTCCTTAAGAGTCATGCCCCTTAGAGGTCTCACCCCGAAAGATGTTCTGGTAAATGCAATGTTCCCATTTTATTATCTTCCAATGAAGTGTTTATGCCCCTATTGTTTAGTACCAATCTCTAAGACCGGTGCCCCAGGCAGGTGTTCAGTTCTTAGCCCTCATCCAACTATTACTGCTTTACCCTCCTACTACTGAAACTTCGGGGTTGTTTTACTTCAAATGTTCTAAAATAAGGCCTGAATAGGACATTAATGCAGGACCGCTAAACTAATATACTGTATTTGACACCCTTGGTATTATGAGCAGTTCAAGTCATTGCTCACAGACACCTTCTTAATGAAGTCTATCCTGGCCACCCTATTTAAGTTGCAGTTTCATTTTTTTTTTTTTTTTTTTAAGAGACGGGGCCTCACTATGTTTCCCAGACAGGTCTCAAACTCCTGGACTCAAGTGATTCTCCTGCCTCAGCCTCCCAAATTACTGAGATTACAGGCATGAACCACTTTGCCAGGCCTAAACTGCAGTTTTATCTCACTCATGCTCCCTGCCCAGTGCTCTCCATCCCTGACCCTCCTTAACTTTTTTACATAGCACTAGCCTTCTGACATACTGTTTATGTGCTTATCATATTTTTGTTTTGTCTGCTTCTCCCAATTGGAATCTAAACTTCACAAAAGAACAGAGGGTTTTTGTCTCTATTTTGTTCACTGATGTATCCTTCCTTAGCTTTTGGGACAGTGTCTGGCAAAACATATACGTCCAAGCAGATTCAGATAATGTGGCAGCTAAAGTTTATACAATGTGGCGGAACCTCTTTAAGGAAAAAAAATGAAAAATCTGGTTTGAAAGTGAGTGTTTGAAGTAAAAAACAACTATCTACAAATTTATAAAAGCTGACAAATGCCACAAATATCCCCAAATCCAGAAAAATAACAGCATTTTTAATAAATAAATCACCCAACATACCTCTATAATACCTGTTTTCTACAATTTTTTGGCTGTATTAGCTGATTACCTCTTCATATTTTATAAATTTTTAAATAGAATACAAAGATAATTCTGACATTAAGCATAAGTTATCAAGTTTTTCATTACATGTTTCTTTTTAGGTTTTCCATTGTACATGTTTAATATAGCTAATATAGCATTTATCAATTCTATTATCATATACATCATACATACATGTAGATATATACATATATGTATTTTTATTTAAATGTAATATATGCAAATGATATGTTCATACCCCACCTGCTCTTCCTGGAGCCTAGCAGAACCTGGTATATCAAAATATTTGCTAAATTGAATTTTTAAAAGTTTAGTTACTAAACTAGAGAATCAAGTAACAACAATATAGGGAAGAGTGCAGTTTTATTTTATGTATGCACATATTAAATGCAAAGCATAATTTTACATCTCAGCACAGCAGTCATTAGTGAGGTTAGAGAGGCCTGGGTTAGCATCTTAGAAATCTATAGATTCATGATATAGGGCTTCTATGGTTGTCTCCAATTTAAAATAAAAAAGTTGGACACTTGATGAGTAATGAAGCATGCTTATGGTATTTTACAAGAAATACAAACTCAATAATTACATTTTTTAAAATTTCATATGAAAAACTTCAAACATACACAAAAGTAGAGTAGCATAAATAACCCTAGCATCTGTGATGATCAACACTGTCAGCATTTACCAATCTATCTCTGCACTTTTTAAATTTATTTTTCTGGAGTATTTTTTGTTTTATTTCATTTTTTTTTTCTTTTTCTTTTTCTTTTCTTTTCTTTTCTTTTTTTTTTTTTTTTTTGAGACGGAGTTTCGCTCTTGTTACCCAGGCTGGAGTGCAATGTCATGATCTCTGCTCGCCGCAACCTCTGCCTCCTGGGTTCAGGCAATTCTCCTGCTTCGGCCTCCTGAGTAGCTGGGATTACAGGCGCGCGCCACCATGCCCAGCTAATTTTTTGTATTTTTAGTAGAGACGGGATTTCACCATGTTGACCAGGATGGTCTTGATCTCTTGACCTCATGAACCACCCGCCTCAGCCTCCCAAAGTGCTAGGATTACAAGCTTGATCCACCGCACCCGGCTTATTTCATTTTTTTTGAGACAGAGTCTTCCTCTTTCACCCAGGCTGGAGTACAGTGGCACAATCTCAGCTCACTGCAGCCTCTACCCCCTGGGTTCCAACGATTTTCCTGCCTCAGCCTCCTGGGTAGCTGGGATTACAGGTGTATGCCACCACACCCAGCTACTTTTTGTATTTTTAGTAGAGACAGGGTTTCGCCATGTTGGCCAGGCTCCTCTAGAACACCTGACCTCAGGTGAACCAACCACGTCAACCTCCCAAAGTACTGGGATTACAGGCGTGAGCCACCGTGCCCCGCCTCTGGAGTATTTTAAAGGAAATAACCAGATCATTTTGCTGGTAAATACTTTATTACATAGCTCTAACAGATAAGCACTTCTTTTTAGCACAACCATATACTACTATCATAGCTAACAAAACTAACACTAATTCCTTACCGTTATGAAATACCCACTCTGAATATCCCTTCATTGTCTCAG